GGGAGGTCCCAAAATCTCTTTTAGATGTGCCAGATCTGGTTCAACTTTCAGAAGCAAGATCAGAGTAATGACCCCATCCTGCTCCACTAAGTGATTTTGTCTCCATGTCACACATGTGGGAAGTGGGTGTTGGGGCCGCAGGAACAAGACCTGTAGAAATCTCCAAGTGCTCAAGGGCAAAACTGCTAGAAAAGGATAGGATTCCAGAAGGGTAGAAAAAAAGAGAAGGGAAGGGAATGATCACTAGCAACATGAGAACAGAGAATCATCTGGGAATTCGAGAGCAGTGAGGAGCACCTGTGGAAGGTTGACCCTTGCAAGGGAAGGCTGGGGACCAGGTCAGGTCAGTGGAAAGAAGGCAAAGAGGAGAACAGGAAATGGGATCTGGGAGAGGCAGCAGCCAGCAGCAAAGATGAAAAGTTCTAATTTGACATGGGAAAGAGGAAGGCAGGAGCAATGGTGGGTGAAAGAACTGTTCCTAGAGAAGAAGTTACACCAGAGCTCTGCTTCTGACTCCTGTGACCATTTCACTTGGCCTCAAAATTTTCATTTCTAATGAGGGCTTAGTGATGAGGCTTGTCAAGCTTAATCCTCAGGAATATTATGTGCAGTAACAAGAAATGGACTGGAAAATCTTCATATGGTTTCACGCGGCTATTGTGAAAGTTGAATTTACCCAATCTACTCAGTTCGGCTCTGATCACAGTGAAACATGATGGGGGCTGCAGACCATGTTTCTAGCGTTCTTATTCCAGACTTTCCATACTTTCAAGTATTCCCTCAACTGCCACCAATGACGGCCCTGCTACCTTCTACTGGGATTGAGAATTGTAAAGAAAAATAAGATACTTTCCGTTGACAAGTTGTTCACATGGGAAAAACATACGCTTAAAAATAACAATGTGTTGAGAAGTACTACGACAAAGATACTATAACAGGGATATAGAGGGACCAGAGAGGGCGTCCTCCAGCCAGTTCCCTCATATACCCCCATTTACTAACTCAGTTGGTTAATTCCCCCTGGAAATCCCCCTCCCCAACCCTGACCCTCAAGCCATATCCCTTGAAGTCCTGACCACTCCTCAAATTCTAGATCAAATGTTATTTTCTCAACAAGGTAGTTCCTAATTAATTCCAAATTCCAGAAGTTGGAATTAATCTTTCCCTTCTGGGTGCTTCTGTAACATGTTATTTGTGTTTCTGGTTTAAAATTTATTCTAATTAGTTTGTTTTTTAATAAAACTGTATGATGAAGGTACATACACACACACACACATATATATATATATATGTTTCTTAAAGTGCACCTAGGGTCTGGTGAGGTAAAAGTTCATTTACATCAAGTAATCTACAGCCCCTTTTAAGAGGCTAAAGTGAATGGATCCTGCTTCCTTCTGGCAATTGTGAATCCTTGTTTGTACATTTTCTTTTTTTGAAGAGGCATATAACAAATAGCTTTTAGACCTAAAATGACCCAATAATTCCTTCCAGCTCTTTCTACATTGGACAAAGAACAGGCAACAAAATAAAACAAAAAACTCAAATTAATCATATCATTTTTAATCTGGAAGGGACTCTACATTTAATTTAACCCAATATCTTAATTACAAATGAAGAAACTATGTCCTGAGAAATTTGGATACTTCTTCAATATTACATGGCAAGAATCAACAATACATTTCACAACCCTTAGGTTCAAGGCTCTTCCCAAGAGAAACTTCCCCAAATGTAAACCAACTAGTTTACCTTTAATAAGAAAGAAAGAGTGCATTTAAAAAAATGGAATAGCATTAAAATGTACAGAGAAAACAATTCATTGAAAAGCAGTATACATTGTAGAGAAATGTTTTTCCATTAGTCCATCTGTCCATAGAGAATATCATGCTTTCACAAACACAGTGAAACTGTAGAGTTTAGAGCTTTAACTAAAAAATCAGACTTTCGTGATGTCTGGATCCTTTATCCTTCAGACATCAAATGATTCTATACAGATAGCAATGAGAATTATTTTGAGGTTCTTCTCCAAGATATTTTAATATGTTTGGTGGTCCTGGTCATTAACAGGTGTTCTTAACAGTTGCGGAAGTAAAATAATACATCAAGGCTCTGTTGAGAGGTGCACATTCACACATGTTCTTTCCCATCATGACAGACAAATGCGGCAGGTGCACTCAAATGTGACATATTCTACTCCATCTCAGTTCTGCTGTTATTGCCAGAAGGCTTGCCTTTTCCCTCCGCTTTCCCATGTCCTCACTGCCCTATCACCATCCGGATAGATCTGACTCTGTCCTACAGATGCCCCAGACTGGGCATGTGGGCGCATGCACACGCACACACACACGCACACACACACACACTCTGACACACACACATTCACACACACACACACACACACACACGCAAAACAGGTTGAAGCACCAAAATTGAATTTAAAAGTTACTGCATTCCAATTCTAAACAGGCATATGTATATATAATATGTGCATATGTATGATATATAATATGTATATATCTACATATATCACAATTCACAACTATATGTATATATAATATGTATATATCTACATATATGTATATATAATACGTATATATCCATCTATACATTCGAAGTGATAATCACTTAGATTAATACCACCTGCTTTGAAAACCTCTTTCATTCACTGCAGAGGATGGTCTGAAGAAACTGGCTTTCAGTTAGGGCTACTCCCACTGCTCTGCCACTGCCAAGGACCCTTCAGGGCAGAGACAGTGCCCGGGTTTTGCAGCTCCACAGGGGCTTAAATACAACTTCTACCACTTACTATTTGTGTGATCTTGAGAAAATGACTTAACTTCTTTGAACAGTAATTTCCTTAATTCTAAACTGAGGATGTTAATACCCACTTGAGGGAGTCATGAGGATTGGAGGTAATGTACAATGGGTGCTGCGTGCGAGTGCCCGGCAAATAATGGCAATTCTGATGCAGAAGACGATAGGAGGGAACAGTTAGAGAGGAAGTGGGAGCACGATGATGGCCCCATTTCTCACATGCCTTCTATATTTCAGGATTTCTCAGCAAGGATTGGCAGAACTTGACTGCTAGTATCTATCCAGTGAGTATTAAGCTCAAGGTAGAGGAAAGAGAACAGTAGGGCAAGTCCGTGAATGGCTAGCATTTAATATGTGATTTTCCTGTCTTGAGCCTACACATACACACCCTTCATGTCCCTTCCACTGCTGAGAAAATAGCATTTCACAGTAGTGAATTTAGCATCTTTTGAGGAGTTAAGGCCATTGTTTTTTCCCTTTTGCTTAGCACAATCAGACTTCACAAAGCAGGGTAAAAGGATTCCTGTGACCCCATGGCGGCTAATCACATCATTTCCCGTTTCAGCGGTAGGCCCCAGCTACTGCTCCCTGGCTACCCCAGCAATTTTGGTAACTGCAAGATATCCTATCGATCACAGAACACATGCCCAGCTCCTTTCTCCAGTCACAGAGTCAGAACACACAGCCACTAGCAGAGCTGCTGTTATGGTTTGAGCTGTCCAAAGTACAACAGGGAAGGAGGAAGCCCCAGCCTACCCGGACATGCCCCGAATGACACAGCCATTTAGGGCCTGCATAACATGCCATTCTATTTGCAAACACATACTACCTGCTGGATCACTCAACAAAGTCATTCCATCAGAAGCCTGAAGGCAAATGACTAATGTTAAAAGTGGCCCATGCCTAATTTCAGTGACAACTCCACAGGCGCCAATGAAACACGGAAGAGACCCGTTCTGAAGCATGCCCAGCTGGCATCCCCAGGGAGCTGTAGTCAGTGGCTGATAAAACATACTAACATAACTATAAAGAAATTTTGCAGCCCTCTCCTTGCTCAAAAGCAACCTGGGTCCATGAGGACAATGAACCTCGAAGACATCCAAAAGAAGAGGTGAGTAAAGAAAAGCCTGCATTTGAAGCCAGCATTGCTCTTTCTCATGCACAGAAAGCAAAGATCGGGAGTTGCATGAGGTCATCTTTTCAGCCACCAAAAACAAACAAACAGAAAACCGAACCAAACCTCAAACACAAAAAACAAAAAACAAAAACCCAGACGGGTGTAGGGAATGCTTGGGAGTTTGTGTGGTAGTCTAGGGGTGAAATTCAATTGTTATGTCTCCAAGTGAAAGAAAGGACTGGCAGTAGTCCATCCCCTGCTTCTAGGAGTGCTTTCCAGTATCAGCACTGTAGGACACGCTCAGCACACCAGACCGAACTCACTGTCCAAATAGCCTTCCCTAGAAATCATACATTAACCACCTTCTGAGCGGAAGGAAGAGGACGCATTTAACAAATGATGTCAAGGCATAAATCCTCCAGCAGGGAGACAGTGGCTGGAGCAGAAGTGCAGTTCTAAACCAGTCAGGCAGACACCTGTATACATACATAGAGAGAGAGACAAAGCTTCAACCACCACCACCTCATCACGCCTAACGACTGCCGGTGGGGAGAGTTGGTATTCTCTATTCTGGCTTTTCTAACAACAAAAATGTGTCTTTATGCTCAGTTCTGATTCTGAACGTGTTCTCTAATGCTTATGCATTTTTTGTTTCTCCAATACACAAGGTCAGATAAATGAGAAAGAAAATATTGATCCAGATCTAAAATTGTTCTTGACTTTTAATTCATTATGTCTCCTTCAAATGATTTAAGTTAATGCAGCCCTCACATACACATAACGACAGTGAAAAGGATAATATTCTTAGAATGAGGCTAGCAAATAGAAGCAAAAAACAAACAAACAAAAAACCCCAAGCAAAAACAATGATGCTTCCATTCTCATTAGTCCTGTTACCAATGATGCAGCCTACGGAAATCTCTTGAAAGCAGCTGCTTCGGTGTTAAGTTTTTGGCTTGGAAATAAAAAGGGGTCACTGACAATTAATTTCTTAGCACAAAAGAAAAGCAACCCAGCCCCTTAACAACACTAAAATGGCAGAAGTAAACACGGTGGGAACAAGTAGGAATACCTGGGATTGCCAGATTGGAAATGGGGAGGTTGTGGAGGTGAGGGGGGAGCGAGGCCATCCAGTCGGCATTGCAGACCTCCGATGATGTCTTTGTCCCGCTGGGGTTGGGGGAGCAGATGGTCCCCATCCTGAGTTTCCTCCTAGCCTTCCTAACTGCTAGCATCCCTGTCGTTAAGAAACCGGCCAGTCTCTGCCCAGTGCCACTCACTCAGCGATCATCGCTTCTCGGGCTCTGTGGACGTTTCAGGGCGACGCTTGCCACGCCAGTCTTTCCAAAATGCCTTTCTCGCCGGGAGACGGGGCAAACAGATGGATCCCTACCCACTAGCACCCGCAGCCCCCACTCTCTCCGGCCCAGCCTCGGCTCCGCTGCTTTAATCTGCTCAGTCCCAGCTCTGTTAAACTTCTTCCGTTCCCCTCTGGAGACGGGAGAAGGTAGGGCCCTGGAGATGAATCTCACAAAAACTGAAAGTCCGAGGAGCAGCCCCGCCCGGAGCCCCTCACAAGACAGGTGCCCACCCAGTGTTCAGACGTGCCTGCGGGTCCATACACGTGTGCGCGCCCGGGCGCCCCGGCTCCAGCCTGATTTCCGTTTCTATCTATGTCACCGGGCCGGGACACAAGCCGGGCCTGCCTGCTACTCACCACCCCCGCCTCTCCGCACAGACGCCCCCTGTCCTGTGGCTTCCCGAAAGACACACACAAGTGCAGCCGGCGGCAGCCCGACTCCCGGCAGCCCCGCCCCTCACTGCCGGGCAGATTTGCCGGGATAGGCGGCCCGTGATTGGTCGCTGGCGGAGCGCGCTCCGATTGGCCGGGGGCCTCCGGACCGCCCCTCGGTCCGGCTCCCACGCCTCCCCTGCTTCCCAGACTCCGCCCTCCGGTGCTCTCGTCTTCCTGTGTGTGAGTGTAGAGGCGCGTGGAGACGCCTCGGCAGCGACTGCGTTCGTGGGAACTTGCAGGCTTCGGTCAGTCGGTCCTCAGATAAGTCCTCTTTCCTCCAGCCCCTCACACAGTGGGCACTCAGATGTTCAGCGCGACCACAAACGTTTCCTTCTTTCTTACACACGCACGCACGCACACACACACAGACACACACGCGCACACACACGCACATACACATGCACACACACGCACATACACGCGCACGCACACACGCACACACACGCGCACACACACACGCACACGCGCGCACACACAGACACACACACGCACACACGCGCGCACACACACACGCGCACACACGCGCGCACACACGCACACACACGCACACACACGCACATACACACACGCGCACGCACACACGCACACACACATGCACACACACGCACATACACACACGCGCACGCACACACGCACACACACATGCACACACACGCACGCACACACACGCACATACACGCACACACACGCACACACACGCGCGCGCACACACACACACACACACGGAAAGCGTTACGTTTTCCTAAACCACAGAAGCAGCAGAAATGTAATAGTAAGAGGCCGAGAAAGGTGCTGTATTGTACCAGAGCGAGCAAAGAAAAAAAAAAAAGACAAACGTATGCCAAATTGCAGGCTCTTTATTGCCGGCAGCCACGGAGGACTCACGTCTCTCCAACCCGTGGCCCCGAACTCGGTGGGAGCAAGGTGTTTAAGCTGTGAAACCATATCCTTGTTCCCTGGGGGCTCGGGGGTTGGGCAAGCAAGCTGTTTGTACAGACGCAAAAGTCAGCGGTTTGTTGCAAGGGGATGGGCAATAGGGGGAAAATCTTAACCTTAGAAAATAACATATCTGAGAACTACACCTCTGCTCAGGGCCCAGGTGGCTTTTCTATAAGATGGCAGTGCTTAAGCTTTTTTTTTTTTTTTGGTGCCTATGTCATTCTCCCCTGTTATTTAGTGCATGAGTCAAATAATGTATTCTTCCATTAAAACTGTTTGGTCAGTTTGGTTTAAGGGTTCATACGGGGATCTTAGGATCATTAGTTTTACAGAATTAATTCTTGAGTGGATTATCTTGAGCAACTCAAGGGCCAAACACAAGTCCTAGTAACAGTAGGACCTTGCTGTCCATTGTAGGTATTTACACGGGGCAAGATGTATGCGGGTGTGCAGGGTACGGGGTCAGAGAAATTGTTAAACTAAGTGAAATGCAGTTAAAGCTGAAAAGTGCAGGCTAGCTAAGATGATTTTGGGGCAGTAAAGAGTTGTTGTGTTACAGCTTAAGGGAAGGTTTTATTACACCATACGGGGGTTAGTGAGGGTATAATTAGGGGAATGATAGCATTCACCTTTTCCTTCTAGATCTCCCAGGGTCAGGTGGAACTTGGTTTCAGAGCAGGGGACGTTGGAGGCGGTAATGGGCAGCAGTGCTTCTCAGCCTGTGTAAAAAGGTGGCTGCAAGTTTAAATATAACCAACAGTCTGCACCCAAGTTCGGGTTGGACTGGTTAAATATGCGGTGTGTTGAGGACAGCCTACCTAGGAGGTTAAAGTCTTCTACGGTTAAAGTTGCCACTGATGGGGATGTGGTGGGAAGGGTGAGGTTAGGAGAAGGAAGGGTAGGAGAATGGAATTTGCGGGTTTTTGGGAGAGGTTTTGGGGGCCGTATGACTTCGGCAATTTGTCCTAGAGGGCGGTTGGGTCATGGTGGGGCCATGCGCTGGAAGGTAAAAATATTTTCCCAGTCCCATCCTGACACATATGGTTTGATACCCCAGGTGCATCCTGTGTTCCATCTACTGTCAGGGTTGAGGATAGTTATTTTGAGTGGGTTACAAGTGCCAGCGGCAGAGCATGGGTTTGGGGAGGACACTCGTTGGAAAGAAATGAAGGCATCTATGTTTTTGATGTATCCTGATAAAGTGGAGATGGTCTTACATCCCCTCATTGGGGATTTAAGTTTTTACAGTTCCGTCTCTGTTGGCTAGTAGAGCCTGGGCATAGGTAAAGAGCCTTTCCCTGGAGAACTTCTTCCTGCTCTGTACTACCGCAGCCCCAACTATTTTTCTTTATTTTATGTGAAATTATAGCTCCTGCATGAGGCATGGTAGGGAGTGACTCAGATGGAGGTTTTTTAAGCTTGGGGCCTACGATATCACAAAGATCTAGGAAGAAGGTTACGGGGCTTTGTGGGGAGCGCTCAAGGGTAGAGTTGACTGGGGTGGATCCGTGCCTGTTCGAGCACTAACATATTCTCCAGTGGAGCCTTCAATTAGTACATGTTGAAAGTAAGTAGGATCTGTGGGGGGGAGGGTCTGCCATGGGAGTTTACGACATGGGTTAGGGAGGCCAGGGTGGTGACCGCGAAGAGAAGAGCGTACAAGTATTAGCTTTAGCAGATCTGGGGATGAGTGGTCAACACTCCGTTGTTCTTCTGGTGGGGCAGTCTTGGCGTGGGGTGGTGAATCCAAGCTGTTAGTACGTCCACTTTGAGTGCAGTGGGGGTAGTCAGGATAACCCTGTAGGGTCCTCTCCAACGGGGGGTGAGGCCGGAGGTGACATGAGGTGGTGAATCCTTTAACTAGGAGCGAGTCTCCAGGCTGGAAGGAATGTGTTGGTTGGTCCGTGAGGCCTACTGCTGTGGGACGAGTGTCTCTGATGAGCTGGTGCACCTGGGATTGAATAAACTGGAGCACCTGTAAGGACTTAAGGAGCGAATGGTTAAGGATTTCTGCCTGGACGGGATCTGCGGGTTTGGGGAGTAGGGGAGGAGGCCTGCCATACATGATTTCAAAGGGGGAGAAACCTTTCTGATAGGGGTGCATCGGATGCGGAGGAGGACAAAAGGAGGCAGGCTGACCCAGTTTTCACCGGTCTCTAGGATAAACTTTGTTAGGGTTTCTTTTAAGGTCTGGTTCATCCACTCGACCTGTCCTGAACTCTGGGGATGATAGGCACAGTGTAATTTCCAGGATATACCCAGAGCCTTGGCTAGGCTCTGAGAAATCTGTGCAGCGAAGGCGGGCCCAGAGTCCCATCCCAGCGTTAAGGGCAGGCCGAATCGAGGGACCAAGTCCTGTAGGAGTTTTTTGTGATCACAAAGCGGTCTCAGACCGAGTGGGGAAGGCCTCAACCTATCCAGAGAACGTGTCTGCAAACACAAGGAGGTATCTGTAGCTGTTTACCGGGGGCTTTACTTCAGTAAAGTCTGTTTCCCAGTGTTCTCCAGGGCTGGCTCCCAGGCATTCCATAATTAAACTTCAGGTACACATCACTGTGCAGCAGTTCCGTCGCATTTTTCCCGTTTTACAGAGGAGGCAGTAATGAAACATATTTGTATTGTCCTGTTGTTTGGACCCTTCTTTCAAATTCCTTGTCCCATTTGCTCTTCACAGTACTCCCACCAGGAAGGGAGGGTTGCTGATATAATTCCCTTGAATAGATGAAAATCTGGAAGCATTCAGGGAGCTGAATGTGGTGGCACTATTGGAAACCCCATTTTGGAACGAGGCCTGCTAGTATGGAGGCTCGAAGGCACACAAACCCATCTCCCTGCTGTCTGCAGTGTCCCCTACTCCTTCCAACGGTACTTTTCTGTAATACGAGGGAAATATGAGGTCTCTGTCGATGTGAGGACTTTGCACAGGAAAATCACAGGGACACCTTGGCAAACAGACAAATCAGGAAAAGCACCCTGGGCTTGATGGTGGGGTCCCAGAGGGGCTTCAGGCCAGGCAGGTCCTCAGTAACTCAGGAGGACCTTATGGGAAAAGAAAGCGGTCGCCTGAGCTAAGACAAGACTCATATCCAGATCTTAGGTCAGCTCGCATTGAACCAGCACATGGCCTCCCCTCATCTGCCGGCCCCAGACCACCTTTCTATACACATAACTCCTGCTGCGTAGTGCCGCTTTTGACATCTCATTAAAATGTCCTCTTCCAGGCTATTCTTAACATTCATTTAAACCTAGATGCTGCAGAATATTGCCGTTTCCTTCGTTCCTTCGTTTGTTTGGTCTGGAGGACCTTACTTGTACCTTGTACCTTAAGAAACGTGTATGTAATATTGTTCGTGTGTTTCTTATGCTTGAAAGGGTTCTTTGGTATAAACATAGTATTCTTTGTTTTCAAGTAGCCACAGGATATTGGGAGTAGTCACCTAGCTGTTTGCATCAACCTTTTTGTTTTGTTTTTTTCTTCCCACCCACTCCCCTGGAAAAATGACTCTGTGAAGTAATATCTTAAGATTTATTTTTAAGGTGTCAACTTTCAAGGCTTCCCTTTAGCCCCAAATTTCCAAACATAAAACTGTATGGAAGATGCCTAAGGCAGACACAATGTATTCTTTAGGCTTTACTGTGAAATGTTAACTTTAGTGCCTTTTTCCCCTTTATTTTTCAGCTGTTAACGAAAGGAATGAGCAGTATTTAGGAAGCATCAAACTTTAGAGACTTAGCAACATCGCTGAGAACTTGAAAGCAAGTAGCACCACTTCAGAATGAGATGATTTGCACCTATCTGAAATTGGCAGCTTTTAAATTTACAGTTACTTGATTTGCCTAAGGAAACAATTCAAAAAGAGGGCAACACTTTTTCCATGTAGTCCTGAGTCAGTGCTGGAAAATATGCAGCAGATAAAAACACAGTATCTAGTACAGAACTTGGCATATAGCAGGTGCTCAATATTTGTTGGAGGGAGGTAGATGCCTGGTAAATGCTCTTGGTTAATGTCATGCTCTGCTGGGCTGTAAGTAGTGTCTTAGAGCAATGCTTTTCAGAAATTAATATGTAAATCAATCATATTCTGATTAAATCAGTTTGAGATGGACCTGATGTTTTACATATTCAACAAGCTTCTAGCTGATGCAGATACTTCTGGCCCAGATACTTTGAGTAGCAAGGCCTTAGAGAATGGGCTCATGTTTGATAGGTGGGATATGCGGTGCTTTTCTCTCTTTTCCAAGATGTTATAATGTTTTTACATCTCTTTTATAATCGTAAAATAAATTTGCTTAAAAAATCTTAGCC